AGTAGGGTGGAACCGGGCCGCGCGGGCGGGGAGGGGGTCTGCCGTGAGGCGGTAGCGGGGGGGGTGTGTGTCTCGTGATGGCGGGACCAGCGGGGGAACCTGGTGTGTGTGGCGAGTTCTGCCGTGAGGCCTTGGCGGGACGATCCTGCTGTGTGGCAGCGGCGGCGGAGTCCCGTTGGGGGGGCGGACGGGTAACCCCTCCGTGGTGGGGGTCCCGACGTCAGGCGGGGGTGTGTAAAATCCTCCCGTGAGGCGGTGGGAGGAGGCGTCGCTCATTCCCTGGCCGTGGCTTGCAGCTCCCGGGTGGTGGAGATCCAGTCGCAGATGTCGGAGCGGGCTGTGGAGCTGCTGGGACTGCCCGAGGACCAGCCATGCCTCCTCCTGGACGTGGGGTGAGTGAAGGCCCTGCCCTGTGTCGTGGCACACGGTGCATCTGGGGCTTCAGCTGGCTGCGGTGCTGGGGCCAGACAGGCACCTAGGGGTGAGGGACATCCATGCCCCGTGACACTGGTGTCTCTCTGTTGCGAGAGGAAAAGGAGGGACAGGCTGTAGCGTTGCAGTGGGCTGGAATCACTCTTAGACCAGGCCCGTGATGTCTGCACTTTCTCCCCTTCCTCCTTTCAGCTGTGGCTCTGGGCTGAGTGGGGATTACATCTCCGATGAGGGTCACTACTGGATTGGGATGGACATCAGCTCTGCCATGCTAGGTGAGCAAGCCCTCCTTCTCTGCCACCCTCACCTCACCTTAGAGGTGGCCCCTAGAGGTGTGAGCTTGTTGGCTGAGCTGTGCTGTGCTTTGTGCAGATGTGGCCATGGAGAGGGAGGTGGAAGGAGACCTTCTTCTTGCAGATGTGGGTCATGGCATTCCCTTCAGGCCTGGCATGTTTGACGGCTGTATCAGGTGGGGTTGTGTATATAAGTGAGCTCTCTTGATGCTTCACATAACTGCATTGTTTGTACGGTACACATGGTCCACGTATGAGTGCAACTGTCCTTATCAGTCAATCTCTGTTCCATGCAACTTGACTTTACCTCTCTGGGAAAAGCTACTGAGATTCTGGATGGTAGAAGCAGCTTCTAATGGCTGTTTCCCAAGTAGCGCTTGTCTTTTGTGCTGGTGAGATAGGAAGTTTTTTGAAGTAAATAAAATAAAATTGGTGATATTATCAGGACAGTTAAAACCTGCTCCAAGGAGGAAAACAAGAAAGTATGTCTGTACCATTGCTCAGCTGCAAGGTCAGTTCCTGCATGAAAGGTTTGGTGGTTGGTTTTGGGATAAAGGGCTAGGTGAAGGGGACAGAAACACGTTTCTGCTTCAGAATACTTCAGAAAGGTGCTAGGAAGGAGTAGGGTCTGTCTGTTGCTCATCCAAGTGCTCTGTTTGGGATTGCTCATTGGCAAAAAACTGCACGGCCGTGCAAAGGCCACAGCCAAGTATTTGAATTATTTGAGCACCTGGCCTAAAGGGGATGCTTGGGGATTCTTTTGTGCTTGAATAGTTACTGCATCTTGTTGGGTTTTGGCATAGTGAGTCTCCAGAGGGGTTTGTGTAACTGCAAAGCAGAAAGCACGGATACACAGAGCAAATGAAATAGTTTCCCTGAAGCCTAGCACATGCTTAGTCCTGGAACTAAGCTAAGGGGAGGTGGCAGGCTCTGTGAAACAGTTGATGGCTCAGTGTCCTGGGGGTCTTGTTTTCTTTCTCAGTATTTCTGCAGTGCAGTGGCTTTGTAATGCTGATAAGAAATCACACAGCCCTCCAAAACGCCTTTATCGATTCTTCTCAACTCTTTATACTGCCTTGGTAAGTGTCATGTTCTCCCCAGTCAGGCTTCTATGTACTTATACATCCTCATGGGTCCATATTTTAAGTCAAGTATTTTAAGTAAATGCTGCTCTGGACTGGAGCACCCATTTCCTATCTCCTTGCCTGCCTGCATGGTGTCTCATGTTTCTCTGATCCTTGCTGTTATCCCTGTGCCTTGCTGTGCTGTGGAGGAGCTGGCTCTGCAGTCTGAGCATCTCTCCCAGGAGAGTTCTCCAGGAGGCTTTGGGGAGGCTAGGCACTAGTGTCTGGGCTAAGAATTCAGTCACTAAAAGGGTTGTTTGCACTGAGGCAGGTTTGTGACTGACTTTATTTCTTGTAGGCCCGAGGATCCCGAGCCGTCCTGCAGCTGTACCCTGAGAACTCAGAACAGGTACAAGACATCAGTCAGTGGGGAAGAGGAACAGGCCGTTTGGTGCTCTGAATGCATCGTGTTTCTCCACACTGGGTCTGTGTCTGTGTCTCTGTCCTTCCTGCCATCTGTAAAGCTCTTCAATAGCCAAAAAAAAAAAAAGCCTACAAGGAGAATGCCCTATGCAATTTCTGTTGCTTCACAGATTGTCTTGGGCTGAGCCATAAAATCAAAGAGATCAGAAGGACATGATCTGAATTTGCTGTCCTGGATTTTCCCACATGACTGGGTTTGAAGACTGGCCTGTAGTCATCAGCACTGTACTGTACCTCCGCAGAGCTGGAAAATACAGCCCAGTATCCCTCTCCTAGAGAGTCTGCTGCGCCAATTAACCCAGGCTAGACTGAGAAGCAGGGACAACCAAGTATAGGCAGCTGACTGGTGTCTGGATGGTACTGCAGAACTGAGAGCTTGGTGCAGAGTTTTACAGGAGCAGAAATGGGTCATCTTTGGCATGCGCAGTTAGCTGTGGTTGAGCCCAAAAGTCTCTTGGGCATTGCTGGTGGATGACCACTAAATAACTTTTGCACATGCTTCTTTTTCCAGCTGGAGCTCATCACAGCCCAAGCTATGAGAGCTGGCTTTACCGGGGGAATGGTGGTAGATTACCCCAACAGTGCCAAAGCCAAGAAGTGAGTCCTGTGTATGTGTGTGTTTGGGGCGAGGGTTTAGCAGTGATTTATTTAGGTTTTTTTCGAGCTATTCTCTCTTCTGTGATACACTCCTGGACAGAGATTACAGCTTCGATCTGACTCTGTTATAAACAATCTTGGTCTTGCTTGGGAATCACATGCCGAGTCCCAGCTTCATGCTCCTTTTTCTTATTCTTTCAGGTTCTTCCTTTGTCTCTTTGTTGGGGCATCTGGCACTTTACCGAAGGTGAGGAGATCCACAAGGCAGCAGAGCTTCCTACCTGGCTGCTGGGTCATGGGGAAGAGCTGGGGGTGAGAGTGGGAGCCAAGAAGCTATGCGCATGCAGATGCGACTTGGTTTATAAATTTGCTGTCAGTCTCACCAACCCCTGCTCTCCCCAGGATCTGGTTTCTTTGCCACAATCTGGAAAACCAGTTTGTCCCTGCTCCAGTCCTTCCCCTTGCAAAGCCCTGGGTTCCCCTTAATTTAGATGGCATGACTGTTAGCTCTGTCTGCTCCAGAGCAGAGCTAAACTTCCCAATTTGCTTTTTAGGGCCTTGGTACTGAGTGTGCTGATGGAGAAGACATACACCAGGCAAAGTTCACCAATGAGAGGTATCATGTAGGGGATGAAGCCGCAAGTTCTCCTCAAGCAAGGAATGTGGGGGGTATAAGGGCTAGGTTTTTCTGACTGAGGACCACAACACTGCCATGTGAGAAGTGGCTGAAGGGACTGGGAAGACCCTTGGCAGCACCCATGGGCACTGATTTATCTTATCAAAGGGCCCGAGACACAAGGAACAGAACGGGTTAGTTTGGAGGGCTTTGCTATGGCATCATGGGGCTGTTGTTGATGCTTACCCTAGATCTGCAGCTGAGCATTTGGTTTGAGGTGTACTTTCTGTCTGGCATGTGGCTCTCCAGCTCCGCGGTGTTGTGTAGGTCAGTGGTTATGGGAGGGGGAATGTTTACAGTGCTGGTGATACCAAGCATGGCTTTTTTTAGTGGGGAAGATGGGCTGCTGTGCCTGAAGCCTGGGGTTCCCTTTCTTCTCCTGTCAGATTCTTTGCTTAGCTCTGCTTAGCTGTGATCTAGTGGCCAGGTCTCCTCCCATGGTAGTGGTGCAGGAAGGAGCCCCTCTTGCAGCCATTGGGAGAGACAGAGAACAAAAAACAGAGGGAAGTCGTCGTGGCTGCCAGGAGCTTGTGGCTGCCATGTTTTCCTGCCTCTTACACTGCTGTTCTCTGCTCACTTAGTCCAGGGATTACCTGGTCTTGGAGGGCAATAGCAGAACTGGCAACTTGTTGGGAAGCCAGAGGCTTTGTCTGCTTTGTTCAGAGTAGAGCATACAAGGGAAAGGTGGTTTTGCTTGAGCCCTTGTTCCCCTGAGATCCCAGAGCCCAGCATGTTGCTGGTGTGTCAGATGTGGAACAGGGGAGTACTGGCCTGCTGCAGCCTGTGTAGGGTAGGTATCCCTTGGCTCAGAGCCGGGGCTGGAAGCAGCCTCCTCCTGCAGTGCATCTGCAGTTGGACTGTTTGGCCACCTGCCCCAATGCTTGCTGAGCCTCTTTCTTCCCAGGAGTGGTGGGAAGGGTACTCACTGGTTTTGTGAGGCAGAAGGCATGCCCGTTTCTGGGTGGCAGTCCTCCAGGGCAGAAAACTACCCCCATACCTCAGTTCCTCTCCAGCTGCCGTCCATTTTCTCGGTAGGACACGGTTCAGAAATGCCAAGGGCAAGTCTGTGAAGAAAAGCCGGGACTGGATTCTTGAGAAGAAGGAGCGTAGGCGACGACAGGGCAAGTAAGTTCAGCTGAGTCTTGCCTCAGCTGAGCCTGACTGTGCTGGTCTGGCCTGCTGTCACCCGTTCAAACTCCTGCCACAAACCCGCTTCCCTTCCCCTACCAGAATGACCTGTGGATTGTGCTTAGTTGCTTTCTGCTTTTCTTCACAGGGAAGTGCGAGCAGACACAAAATACACAGGTCGAAAGCGCCGCCCTCACTTCTGAATTGCTCTGGACACTGCTGGCATGGATGATGGTGTGTTGGTCCCTCCAGTGAGCCTCCCGTGGATGGCACAGATGGGCATGCCAGGCCTGGGACTTGCTGGGACGGGTCATTGTGGCTCTTAAAGGTGTAAACTGGCTCAGCCAGCCAACTGCAAAGCTTTCAGCCTGGTCTTCCTGGAGAAGGTAGAGTGGTACAGAATGCTTTGGGAACTTGGTGTCTGCAGTGCCATTGCTTATCTTCCTGAGAGTGCAGTGAGCCATCTGGAGCTCCAGGTGAGCCAGAACATTATATTCCGCCTCCTCACTAAACAGTTAATGAGTGCTGCTGGTCTCCTGTGTCCTGCTCTCAGTACAAGGGAGTACTGAGGTGGGAATATAACGCCTCATTCCCTGCTAGGTTGTGCTCTGCCTGCAGGCAGGGAGTCGGGCAGTATAAAGGTGTGTGTCCCATGAGGGCAAATCTTCCTCCTGGCAAAAGTGGCGATTCCTTTGGCGATTGCTCCTGTTGGCGCTTCACATCAGGCCCACCCTGTATCCTTTAGTGCTCCCAGCATGCTGGGGTTCCCACAGCCCAGCCCTTGCTCCCCATCACTTCTTCCTTTCCCCTGAAAGAGAGAGGTGCCAACCAGAGCTTACAGTTACAAATGTTTATTCTACATAAAAATTCCACAAAATGGGAAGCTGTTTTGCACCCAAAGCTTTGGGAGAAGGGAGGCTAGCAGGGAGGGAAAAGGTGAAGGAGAGAAGAGGCAACATACAGTGTCATCCAGTCCAGTGAGACAGAGCAAGCCAGGGTCAAGATCCACATAGAAAACAAGGACACTTAGCTCACAGTACAGCAACAGTACAACTCCACGGGGGGCTCGGAAAGCCTTCAAGTACATTTATTACAAAATAAACAATCCCCAGTTCGAGTGCAAGCTGTGCGTGCCCCACACTGCTCGTGGAATACTGCATCGACACGCTCCCGGCGCTGGGAGGGCAGGTGGCACTTGGAACAGAGGTGGTGTAACCCAAAGGACAAGCGGTCTGAGGGGGGCTGGAAAGAAAAATTGAAGTGTCTCCCCAAAGCGCAACCACACTGTTGGTGATCTGGTCTGTACATGCAACAATAGGTAAAAAGGAACTGAATGGGGCTTCCCATAGTGCAGGGGTAATTATTGCACCAAAACACCCTCCCCTCACAGCGAGGACAGTGTGAGCCTGTCAGTGGGACAGCAATGGCAGCCTGCTTCTCTGCCTCCCTGGGATTGGGGCCTGGCAGCACCACTGCCTGCAGGATCCCAGTGAAGTACCAGTGGCAGAGTCACCCACTGTGGCCCTGTTCGGCTCCTACTGCTGAGGGGCTGCTGGCAGTGGTGGTAACAAGGAAGGAGCAAGTGCACAATACCCCCAGTGCTGTTCTTGGCCTTGTGCCTTCTTCACAGGGGTGGGCCACAGCCCTGATGTCATGTGAGCTTGTGCCACAAAAGCTGCTGCTTGGAAGAAATAAAATCATCTTATGCTAGCAGTGGGCATTGCTGCAGGGTGAGAGCCTGAGAAGAGCTTTTTTTGCCTGCCTGCTCAGGAGCAACCCTGCCAGCAGCATTATTGCTTCCCAGAGGAGGGGGTGCAGTGCTGTTGCTGGCTCAGCAGAGCAGAGCGCACACTGCGGTGGCAGGGAGCTGTGCAGGGGCAGGAGCAGCAGGCACTCATGCATCACCTCCAGCTCCCTTTCCTGTAGGCAGACATCCTCACAGAGCAAGGACCCTGCCCATGCTGGCCTTCTGCCCTGGAGAGTGGCTCCAGTGCCAGCCCTGCTTGCGGGGGTCCCAGTGCCCCAAGCCCTTTTGCGCACACAGGCTCACAGGTGCTGGAGCTCACTTCAGTTGTGGGACTTGTGAGAGAAGGGGGCTCCGGTCTGGGATGTTCTCATGGCTGCACCCACTGGGGTTTGGACTGGGCAGGGCAGGGGACTGGGCTGGACACGCTTCCCAATGGCATCTGAATGCAACCAGGGCCTGTATTGGGGGACCTCGGATAACAGTGGCAGGGAGAGCCATGCCTGGGTTGCTGCTGGGCAGGGTTGCACCTGGGGAAGGTGGTGCTGTGTCTTGGCTACAGCCTGCTGCCTTTCACCCTGCACCCACGGACACCACACATGGGGCCACTGCCTGTGCTACGGCACCTGGCCAGGGTGGAGCAGCCCTGCTCTCACCCACTCAGAGCAGGGAGGTGACACGCTGCCTGCAACTGGAGGAGTCCTTGCTGCCATCAGGGGTCCATTTTCTGCTACCCAGCATCTCGGCTCAGGTCCAGCCCCCTGCCCAAGTGTGTGGCTGTAAGCTTAGCCCCAGGTACCTACCCTGCTCTGGGATCCTCTGTGGTGGCTTTGGCATGTGCGTGGCCCAGCTGGAGCCTTGGTGTCTCCAGAGGAATGTGATGGCAGAGCCCTGCCCTCAGCCTGAGGAGAGGACAGTGACCACACAGAGCCCCTCCATGCTGCTGGCAGCCCCAGACCACCCCACTGCAGCTGTGTCCATGTGGTGGGTGTTGCAGACGACACAGGGCACCCATGTGCTCCCACAGCACCCCACTGAGTGTGGGTGCCTCACTGGATGAGCAGGCAGACAGGAGGTAGCAGGGGCAGGCGGGTGCCAAGAGGTGGTAAAGAGATGGAAGGGGCAGTCAGGCACTGCCCTGCTCAGGAGCTGGAAGGATGGAGGAGGAGAAAGGCTGCTGCTCCTAACTTGCAAGGGGCTGGATGCAATAAGGGCTGCTCCTGGGATCACAACAGGAGAAAGCCCAACTGCCTCCAGCCCCCAGCTATGGGTGCCAATGTGGAGAAGTGACTGGAAGCAGCCCTGCTCCCAGGCAAGCACTGCTGGGGGTTGCAGGCATCAGCCCCAGACCCTGACAGCCAGAGCCCAGGCCTGGGGGCAGCAGGAGACCACCATGTGCCAGGCCTAAGAAGAGAACGATGAGGCTTTCGTGCAGGTCTGGCGGCCAGTGGAACCTGTGCCCTCCTGCCCTGCCAGGCCAGCATCAGAGTGCAGCACAGGTCCCCATGTGGCCTGACCCCGGTCCCAAGCACCTGTGATGGCCCCTAGCAGCAGCTCCTCATCCCACACTGCTCCATCAGGCACCCACCTCCAGCAGTGGCACATCCAGCCCCTGGCACCTACACTGGGGTGAGGGCTTGCCTAGATGACATGGCCATGGGACAGGCAGGGACAGGGGGAGGCAGGGCCTGGCAGAGTGCACCCCTGGGGAAGGGGCCTGTGAAAGAAGCAGCCCAAGGAAAGGAGTTTGCAAGCACAGATGCAGCTGACAGACATGAGAGCTCTGGCTGGAGGTGATGGGGAAGCTGAGGAAGGCTGACTGTGCTCCCAGGGAACCCTAACACCCTTTGTCAGTCCCTCCTCATCCTCAGCTGTCACTAACACAGACTGCCCAGAACAGGAGGAGCAGCAGCACCTAAGGACACCTCTGTCCCCACCTGGTCCCAGCCAGCCACCCAGGCTGGAGCAGTGATGAGAGCTTGGGTTCCCTGCCAGGGTCCCCCTTGCGCCCATCACCATCCCCTGCACCCTGCCTGCGCCCCGGGGCCGGCACTCCCTCCACACAGATGCACCGCACACACAGCATCACAAACAACCATGCATTAGAAACTGAAATGCTGCTGGGAGGCTCCGGGGCTACGTGGTTCGCTCCGGCGTGGCTGCAGCCCCACAGCACGCGTGGCTCCGTCCATCGCACACAAAGAGTCCCGTGGGGTGAGTCTAGCCGAAAATGCCGCCGAAGGTGGAGGCAATGACGATACCCAGGATCACGCAGCAGATTATGATCATGATCTTCTTCTGCTCAGGTGCCCCAGCACAGGCAGGGAGAAAAGGGAGAGGGGACTGTGAGTGTTGGGGCAGGCTGGCCCCACGAGATGGGGGCTGTGATCTGCCCTGTCCCTGTTTGCCCATGGTGGGCTTTGAGCAGCACCGTGGGGGCCAGACGGGCTCCAGCAGCACTGGGGCAGGGATGGGCGTCCTGGGTCCCCCTTCAACCCTGGGCTGGCAGAGCTGAGCTGGTGGTCCCCAAGCTGCTGAGCTGATATGGGACCAGGTGTGAGGATCGGGACAGGCAGCTGGCACTGCGCTCAGGATCAGAGCTGGACTGTGCCTTTTCTTGACCTTTTTTTTTTAGGTAAGGGATGTGGCTCTCACTTGGGATCCACCCTATCCCTCCTCCTCCCCTCAGGCAGCACCCCTGCCCCACGGCCCATCGTTGGTGCTCATGTACCCTATGCTGGGAAGCTCTGCCTCAGCTAGTGCCACCAGTGGGACCTGGGCTGCACCCAGCGGTGTGGGGTGAAGGCACTCAGGAGGCTGTGCCATGCTGCCCACTCCTCTGCACAGGCAGTGGAGCAGGCAGGGACGCCAGGTAGGGACAGAGGTGTCAGCAGTGTAGGCAGGGAAAGACAGGCCCCAGCCAGTGCCATGACTTACCCGTCTGGCTTTGCTCTGGTACTTCACCGCTTTTTTGGTGTCAGACACAGCACGCTCCACATAGTCCACCGAGTGCTCCACGTTGTATTCAATGCGGTCGATCATCTCGCCCTGCAGAGTGGGGACAGAGCCCACGCGTGCGCAGACGTGAGCACCTTCCTGCTCTGCTGCTCCCTAGCACCATGTGGGTGTCACCCTGCCCGGCAGCCCTGCACAGGAGAGAGAGGAACCATCAGCTGCCTGCAGGCCGTAGGTGCCCCGGGGTGCCTTGGGGCAGGGGCTCTGAGCCACGGGCTTTGTCTCAGAGGGCTGAGACCTCTGTGCACATCCCAGCAGGGAGACAAGCAAGGGTGAGGTCATGGGGGTTCCCCAGCGAGGTCCCGGCCTTGTGGCCGCCCTGTCTGGTATTACAGGTGACATCAAAACCACAACAGGCTCTACATTGACACCACACAGCATGCTGCTGAAATCGGAGGCATGGCAGGGGAGCAAGCACACCAGCAGCCACTCATGAAACCACACACATGCAGGGACAAGAGCTCTGATCTGCACAAGCGCCCTGCTGAGTGCAGGGTCCCCGGGAGAGGCTGGCAAGGCAAGACCACAGGGCTCTGCAGGGACTCCTGCACTGCTCTGCCTCTCAGGTTGCAGGGGTGGGTTGGGGATGTGGGCTTCTGCAGACGTGGGGACTTGGGCAAGCTCCCCCAGCGTGTCCACCACCTTTGGCTGCACAGGGAATCAGCCAGGTCCTGCAGCAGCTAGAGACATATGTCATTCATGGAACTGAAAGCGTGGGCAGCTTGAAGCCCATTGCTCTCCTGCATGGCATGGAGGGAACTGGGGCTGCAGAGCTGAGGGTCATGGCCAGCAGCTCTGCAATGCTCATTTCTCTGCCTAATGGTGGAGAGAATGGGAAGGATGAGCCTTGCAATCCCAGGGGTACTCTGGTGTTATTCCCTCAAGCACTGAACCCCCGCCCCTGCCAGGCACCCTGCTGCTCCCTGACTTGCCTAAATCTGCTGCTTTTCATTCTCACTTGTCCAGTGCCTGGGTCAGAGCAAACAGCTGCCAGCCCTGCACCCCTCTGCTCCTAGTGCCAGCAGCTTGGAGCCTCCCACCCCACAGAGCAGCACTCTAGCCCTTAAAGCAGGGCAGGGAATGGCAAATCCCCCCAATCTGTCCCCCAAGGCAGCCAGGATGGGGCATGAACACCACCGTGCCACAGCCACCCTCGCCCACCTGCCACAGGCAGACCCTAATGCCATGCGAGAGCTGCAGACATGCAGGGTGCAGCCATGCAGAGCGGAGCATGCAGCACTGGCAGGGGCTCGGCGGGGCTTTACCTGCCACTGATGTCTCCTCGAGCCGTGGCAGCATGGCGGGCAAGAAGGGGGGTGAGCAGAGATGCCAGACCACATGCCCAGCTGAAGGGCCAAGTGCTACAGGCTGGTGGCACAGCCAGGGGTGGCCTGACAGGACCACTGAGGCTGGCAGCACCCCAAGCTCACCTGGTGCCCGATGCTCTGGAAGAGGTGGAGAAACCTCCACCTGCATGGCAGCCACCCGCTGCCCACCAGAGCCCATCACTGAACCTCCTGCCCTGGGCACGCAGCAGCTCCAGCTCTGGGGCACAGGGCAGGTGGCTTTGGCCCCGGGAAGCCCAGCTCAGCCCCAGTGGGAGCTGTGTTGGTCCCAGATGCAGTTTTTCCCCAGGCAGGGCACCACTGGTAGCCTCATCGCACTTCAATCTCCCACCCCAAGTGAGTTGGTCACTGGGTCACAGTGTCTCCCCACCTGGCTCTCCACCAGCATGGCCATGTCCATGAACATGTCATGCAGCTCTCGGATGCTGTTCTCCAGTTTGATGATCTCACTGTGCCGTGTCTCAATCTCATTCAGTGCCTGCTTGGTGATGTTTGAATCCATAATGATCTGCAAGAAGACAGGGCCACTCACTGAGCACCATGCTCAGCCCCTCAGATGCCAGGATTAGGGGCACCAAGAGAGGGAAGAGCAGGAGCCCCAGAACCCCTCCAGCCACCTCAGCCAGGCAGTTTGCAGCAAACCCCCACCCCATCGTCCAGCCAGGACGCAGCCTCTCCTCAGACAGCATCCTCAGATCTCAGCTCTGAGTGCCCAGGTCCCACCTCCTGTACTGGGGCCACTGGAGCAGCACGTCCACCAGTCCCCTGGGATGAGGGGGCTGGCTCAGCTTTAGCCTGTGCTGGTACTTACCCCGGAAGAGAAGATGGCTGGGTTGCCACTCTCCAGCATGTCCTCCAGCTCCTCGCTGGTGGTGGTCCTGCCAGCTGCAAATGACACAGCATGGGTCAGCCATGAGCCCCCTGTCCCAGCCATGGGTCCCACAGCCCTATCGCAGGGCTCTGCTGGCTCCATGGCATCTCCCAAGAGTGGAGCAGAGGAAAGCTTCAGTCCCAAGAGCGCACTGGGCAATTTGAGGGGCTGCCATCCTGCAGCCCGGCTCTGTGCCAGCCCTGCGACCCCTGTTTTTTAAGGGGATCAACTGCCAGCTTGCCCCAGCTCACCCAGGAAAGCCTGTCTGTCCCTCCTGGTCAAGCTGTCCATTTCTGTGGGGCAGGGAATGGTGCCAAAGGACTGGCAGCCATAAGAATCCAGTTGGTGAGCTGTGATGGAGGAGGGATGGAGAGCAGCAAGCCAAGAGCAGGGATGCTCTCGGTAAACCCCATCTCAGGCCAGTTCAAGTTCATGAGCACACTGGGCTCAGCTGGGCTGCCTGAGTTTTAGCCCTGCAGCTGCATAACAGAAACCACGCTCCGTCCTTCCTGCTGTGACACAGCCCTCATCCCTGGCTCCAGGGCGGTATCTTCAGCCCCACAGCTCCCTTGGGAGCAATTCACCCATTGTGCATGGTTGCCTTCCCCTCCCCATCAACATACTCTACACTGCTACAGAGGAGAGAGATATTAAGACCTCTATGGGTTACACCCATCCTCCACCACTATTTGCAGGGTTTTCTTCAGGCCAACAGCCAGGTAGGATCCATGAAATTACAATGCTAAACAGAGAGGGTGGCACTGGGCAGGCTTTTGCTGGGGCTGCCCAGTGGGAGCAGGTCACACCTGCAGAAAGGGCAGGAGACGTCCCACCGGCACGATCAGGAGCAAATGGGGGCAGACAGGCAGGAGAAGCTAATGAAGCAACATTATGAAGCCTGATGACCGCAAAACCAGCAGAAGGACAGGCAGAGAAGGGCTCTGGTATGTACTCCCCTGTGACACACTGCCCACAGACTCTCTCAGTGGTATCAAAAGCGATCCTCCAGCATGAGCCCAGGGCACCTCTGAGTGGGGGAATGGAGGAGACATGGCAAAGAGCAGGGACAGTGCTCCCTGCTTCCAGCAGTGCCAACACGGTCCAAGGGCTGAGACACCTCTGCTGTGGACAACGGCTGAGAAAGTTTGGGTTGTGCAGCCAGGAGACGAAAGGGTTCAAGGGAGACCTTCCTGTGGCTGCTCAGTACCTAAAGGGCCTTCTAGGAAAGAGGGAGAGAGACTTTTGACCAGGGTCTGCAGTGACAGGACAAGGGGCAGCAGTTGTATACTGAACGAGGGTGGGCTTAGGTTGGACATGGGGAAGAAATGTTGTACCCTGAGGGTGGTGAGACCCTGGCTCAGGTTGCCCAGAGAAGCTGTGGCTGCCCCATCCCTGGAGGGGTTCAAGGCCAGGTTGGATGGGGCTTGGAGCAACCTGGTCTGGTGGGAGGTGTCCCTGCCCAGGGCAGGGGATTGGAACTAGATGGTCTTCAAAAGTCCCTTTCAAGCCAAACCACTCTGAGAGTCATACAATCATCTAAGTCCAACCATCTACCCTACTCTACAAAGGTCTGCCCTACACCATATCCCCCAACACCACATCTAAATGACTCTTAAACTCATCCAAGGATGGTGACTCAACCACCTCCCTGGGCAGCCTATTCCAGTGTCTGACCACTCTTTCTGTGAAGAATTTCTTCCTAATGTCTAAACCTACCCTGTTGCAGCTTGAATCCATTCCCTCTTGTTCTATCGCTAATTGCTTGTGAGAAGAGACCAGCACCAACCTCTCTACAGTGTCCTTTCAAGTAGCTGTAGAGAGTGATGAGGTCATTCCTGAGCCTAGTCTTCCTCAAACTAAACAGTCCCAGCTCCTTCAATCATTCTTCGTAGGATTTATTCTCCAGGCCCTTCAGCAGCTCTGTTGCCCTCCTCTGCACCCGCTCCAGCACCTCGATATCTCTCTTGTATTGAGGTGCCCAAAACTGGACACAATACTCTAGGTGTGGCCTCCCCAGTGCTGAGTACAGGGGGACAATCACCTCCCTATTTCTGCTGGTCACACTATTTCTAATACAAGCCAGGATGCCATTGGCTTTCTTGGCCACCTGGGCACACTGTCGGCTCATATTCAGCCACTTGTCAATTAGAACCCCCAAGGCCTTTTCCTCCAGGCAGCTCCAGCCACACTTCCCCAAGCCTGTAACGATGCATGAGGTTGTTGTGGCCCAAGTGCAGGACCTGGCACTTGGTCTTGCTGAAGCTCATACCATTAATGTTGGCCCATCAATCCAACCTATCTACTATGATACACCACTCTATGTCATTATGTTCATACGGCATGGGGTCTGCTAGTAACAGATGGGGAACATCTGTCTCAGAGGGGCAGGAAGATCCTGGCACATAAGTTGGCATGGCTTGTCAAAAGGGCTTTAAACTAGGCTCGAAGGGGGAGGGGGTTAAATACAGGAGCACTAGAGATGAGCCTAAGGATAGCCTCCAGCCTGCCACTGTGCTTGAAGCAAGAAATAATGATAGTATCGGAACTATGATACACCACTCTATGTCATTATGTTCATACGGCATGGGGTCTGCTAGTAACAGATGGGGAACATCTGTCTCAGAGGGGCAGGAAGATCCTGGCACATAAGTTGGCATGGCTTGTCAAAAGGGCTTTAAACTAGGCTCGAAGGGGGAGGGGGTTAAATACAGGAGCACTAGAGATGAGCCTAAGGATAGCCTCCAGCCTGCCACTGTGCTTGAAGCAAGAAATAATGATAGTATCGGAATGGTCTGTGGCAAGTGGCAGGAAGACACACTAGGGTTCAAAGGATGGGGTGATAGCAAGGGCCTCCAACCTGTTGCACTAACGCATGCTGTGAACACTGCATCAAAGGCAAGGTCTTGCAGAACTGGATCAAGAGCCTCTGAGGTAATAGGAGACAGGAGGGTTGCAGCCACAAAGCGTCTTGGGGGATCAGTGGAGCGTCCCTCTAAGAACGTGACACGGCCAGCAGACCAGCTGAAGTGTCTCTACACCAATGCACACAGCATGGGCAACAAGCAGGAGGAACTGGAAGCTATCCTGCTACAGGAAAGCTATGACATAGTAGCAATTACGGAAACTTGGTGGGAGGACTCCTATGACTGGAGTGTGGCCATCGACGGGTACAAGCTGTTCAGAAGGGATAGGAGAGGAAGAAGGGGTGGAGGTGTTGCCCTCTATGTAAAGAAGTGGCTAGAATGTGAAGAGTTGTTGCTAAAGAGTAGCAATGACCAGGTCGAAAATTTATGGGTAGGAATTAGGGATTGGGACAACAAAGGGAGCCTTGTGGTAGGAGTCTACTACAGGCCGCCTGACCAGGCAGAGCCTGTCAATGATGCCTTCTTACTCCAGCTTGAGGAGGCATCACGATCACAGGCTCTCATCCTGCTGGGGGATTTTAACCACCCCGACATCTGCTGGAAAACCAACACAGCTGGCTGCAGACAATCCAGGAAGCTCCTAGAGTGCCTAGATGACAACTTCCTGTGACAAGAAATTAACAGCCCTACTCGAGGAAATGCATTGTTGGACCTGTTGGTCACAAATGCAAGTGAAATCATCAGGGATGTCAAAATTGAAGGTAGCCTGGGCTGCAGTGATCATGCCCTAGTGCAGTTCACTGTCCTAAGGAGTTTGAAGCCCACGAGAAGCACAGTTAGGACTCTAAATTTCAAGAAAGCAAACTTCCAGCTTTTCAAGGAGTTGGTATATAGGACCCCATGGGAAATGGCCCTCAGGGGCAAGGGAGCGGAACAGAGCTGGCAGATCTTTAAGGATGCTCTCTATAGAGCACAAAAGATCTCAATCCCCACATGTAGGAAAATGGGCAAGGAGGGCAAGAGACCACCATGGTTGAGCCAAGACCTGCTGGTCAAACTAAGGGGCAAGATGGGGCTACACAGGAAATGGAAGAAGGGACAGGCATCCTGGGAAGAGTATAGGGATGCTGCCAAGATGTGTAGGAATGAGGTCAGGAAGGCCAAGGCACAGCTAGAACTGAACTTGGCAAGGGACGTAAAGAAAAATAAGAAAGGCTTCTACAGGTACGTTAACCAGAAAAGGAAGGTTAAAGAAAATGTACCCCCCCTGATGTGCAACAGTGGGGAACTTGTATCAACAGATGAGGAGAAGGCAGAAGTTCTCAATGACTTCTTTGCCTCGGTCTTCACTGGTAACCCCCTTCCTCCTAGTTCTTGTGTTGATGACAAAAAAGTTGGAGACCAGGGTGACAAGGTCCCTCCCACTGTAAGTGAAGACAAGGTACGAGATCAACTCAGGAGCCTGAAGATATACAAGTCCATGGGACCTGATGAGATACATCCCAGAGTCCTGAAGGAACTAGCTGATGTAGTTGCCAAACCACTTTCCATGATATTTGAAAAATCATGGCAGTCAGGTGAAGTCCCTGCAGACTGGAAGAAGGGGAACATCACACCCATTTTTAAAAAGGGTAGAAAGGAGGACCCTGGGAACTACCGACCTGTCAGTCTCACCTCTGTGCCTGGGAAGATCATGGAACAGATCCTCCTAGATGCCATGCTTGGGCACATGAAGGACAGGGAGGTGATCCAGGACACCCAACATGGCTTTACTAGGGGCAGGTCCTGCCTGACTAACCTAGTGGCCTTCTATGATAAAGTGACTTGGTCAGTAGACAAGGGGCAACCTATGGATGTGATCTATCTGGATTTCTGTAAGGCCTTTGACACGGTCCCCCACAACATCCTGATTGCCAAATTGGAGGGGTACGGATTTGATGGGTGGACTGTTCAGTGGATAAGGAACTGGCTAGATGGTCGCATCCAGAGGGTGGTACTCAATGGCTCAAAGTCCAGATGGAGACCAGTCACAAGTGGTGTTCCTCAAGGGTCCGTGCTGGGGCCAATACTGTTTAACATTTTTATCAATGATATAGACAGGGGGATTAAAGGCACCATCAGCAAGTTTGCGGACGACACCAAGCTGTGTG